GTTGGCCTTCAAGCGCTCCTGTTAGGATTAGCTCATGGTAGTGCAACCTCTGCAGCTCTAAGTACTGAACCCAGCTCTTGGGCCTTTCTCCAAAGGCTGCGATGACAAGGCAATGGATGTGCCACAAAGTAATCAGCTGCCCATGTATGTGCTGGGGTAATGTGGGGTCTGGCGCAGCTGTCACCAGTCTTTTTTGGGGGAAAAGCCAGCAGGGGAGATGGAGTCATTTGTGGGGTCACGAGTTGGACCTCGCACACACAGATAAAGGGGAGGGACAGCAAAGGTCAGGTGCCCTCTCCATCTCTACGTACAACTGGTCAGCAAATGCTACAGACAATTGTGAAATGCCTGTACGCCTTACGGGAGATCTTACGGGTCTGGGACTAGGACAGTCCTAGAGGGAAGATGACTTGGTCAGTACGCGCTAGGACCATGCACAGCTGTGCTGCTCGCTAAACTCAACCTTCATTTGCATCTTTGTTGCCTCATGGCAAGACCCGAGTATTTCTGTAGGTTTATTGCAGTTAAAATTCAGGCTGTATGGCCTGATGTGGGGTGTGTGGTGGAGCATAGTCAGAAGAGAAGGAGCATTCCCGGTGGTTTTGTGTTCCCGCTGCAGTGATCCATAATGACTGATCTGGCTTGGCCCAGGGGCTCTTCTTAGATGGAGTTTAAATTTGCCGTCACAATGGGCAGAAAAAGGTACAGCAAATCACAGGTCATGCCAACTTAGGATTTTGTATTTTATTGCCTTCCTCACACTGTTTAGCAATTCAACTCTCTCTCATATATATGTATTTATTACCTGAAAGTTTGCAGCTTCTGAGGGGACAGGGATGACTTGCACTCAACAGCCAACCCAACGCAGGTAAGCTTCTAAGATAAATCTTGACCTCCTATCTGCTGTAACTTGAGTTTTATACAGCTATTATGTGAAGCAGAATCCAATAAACTTTGGCAGTATTTGGAAACAGCACTGCAAGGAAGATACAGGCAACAAGGGCAAAAAGACCACCGGCATGCTATTCCATCTTCCCTCGCGCGGTTTGAGAAGAGAGAGTTGAGTAAAAACCCAGTTTGTTTTTCTTTATGTGAAAAGAAACCAAACAGTCTACAGGCTGAGCATACACACAAGGCCATAAATTGCTGAGAAGGTGCTGCCGAGGTCAGTGGTTGTGAAAGTGTGTAGGTAGAGGGGTGCTCAGAACAGAAATGAGAACATTACAGTACGCTGACACCACGCCGCAGAAGTGGAGTGGAAAGGGGCCGCAGCGAAATCGCAGCGTGAATACTCTAGCTGTAAATTTTTTAGTTAAGGTTCCTATCATATGCTTCTATTTTTAACACAGTTAAAATTAAACTCTGCAGCGAAGGCTGAGTGCTAGAAATTCTTTCTTCACTACTCCAGCATTGCCAGCATCTTTTTTGACAACTTTCTTCTCCTCCCCTGCAACCTCGGATATGGGATACTTCAGCTATACAGGATAGTAAGTATCATCTCTCCACCGTCAGGAGCGACCTCCTAAAGGACTTCCAGCAACGAGCAGATGAGATTGTCGTGACAGTGTCTGGTGTCAGCTTTTAATTTGTGAGCGTTTTCCTTGGCCCTCTGTTCGTGGATGGTTACTGCTGAAAATCTGCACGAAACTGTCCTTAACTCACCCCGCCTAATGCTGTTGCACAGATGGCATCTGCAATCAGCAGATCAGGGAGCACTGTTGTAGCTAAATCAGACTTGGAAGTTGGGGGTCAAAGCCTCAGTCTTAATTCTTGAGTTCCTAGCCTTGATACAACCACACACAGAACAGCCTCCTGGTCTGCAAATGACATCGAACACTTCACAGTCCAGCTCTGCCTTTTATCCTGCAGACCCACCTGTCCGATGAGGCTTTTTTTATTTGGCTTTACAATAGCAGATATTAAATGCCTTGAGGCTGCTGGCTTCTGTCTTTTAATGTGCTCCATCGACTACGGCTACGCAAACATAAACCAAAGCTGGTTTGCGCAGCGCAGAGTTCACGTGTGGAGCATTTAGAATTTGCCTTTAGCTCCATTTAGGACACAGAGGAAGGTGGTGGTTGTATTTAGGCTGCTGCATCAGGCCCTTGGCAGGCAGAAAAGGACACGGTGTTTTGGTTGTATTGGTCTGATCAAAATGGCGTCAGGTGACTGATGAGCCCCTTAAGGCAGGCTGCCGCAGCGGGAGCGGTGTTGACCGGCCCTGCTCGTCTCTTGGTCCTAGCGCTGCCAGCTACCACTGCTTTGAAGCCGGTAGCTGGTACGTCCACAAATGTTAAAAAGATTCATCATCTTGATCTCATTTGACTCGAACTGCTTTTTTCTATCAGAAATTTACATTTTGTCTGCGTCTGCAAAAGATTTCTTTAAAAAACTTAGAAGTGACTGTTTCATAATATAGTACAAAATTTATAGACTATAGCTGCTCTTTTCCCTTCTGTGGAAGGGGAAGAATATTACAATTATCCCTTTTTAATCTTTCTTGTTACCCATTGTGTCTGGCAGGTGGAGGTGAAAATAGATTGAGATTTACAGTAAATCCATTTAAAGATGCTGTACTCATATAGAACTTAGCTTATGATTTTTAACAGATTTTGTACCATATTAGTGAAGTGTAATTACGTAGGAAGAGAGTGGCTAAGAAGAAGTAGCCATTAAAAAGACATTTACCAGCAGTAGCCATGCTAGAGTAGCAGAGATCCTTCCCTCTTCTAAATACAGCTTAATTATTACTCTTCCAAATATATCATCGTTTTGCTTTCTCTTTTTTAAGAGGCACCCACTACAGCAGAGGGGAAACTCAGCACAGCAGCATCAAGCTGTGCAACAAAAAGCACTAACCTCAGAGGACCACCTTTTGGAAACAACTGTGTTTTTCCAAACTGAGGGAGTACCTTTAAATTAAGATTCAAGACTTCATGCAGAAGCCCTTGTGCCTTTTTGGTTCTTGCTGCCATGGCAAGAGTTGAACAGAATTCCAAAATTTAAAGTTTGATGTATCATCTAAACCTTTATTGACTGAACACTTACCTGAAAACTCACACCACTCTAAGTAAAAATGGTACTTTTTGCTCATGATGTGAAAAGCGATAGTAAAAGCCTTTGTGTGAGGTCAGGTTACATGAAAATCCTGGGGGGCTGGTTTGGGCTTTTGGTTTTTTGGGGAGTTTTTGGAGGTTCAGGGTTTTTTGATTTTGGGTTTTTCTTTTTTTTTATTTTTTTTGAAAGGTCACGGTTTTTGATTGCAGCCACGTTACTGCTTTTTGTCACCTGTATGACTTTTGAATTGTAAAGTTATTTTTATGTGAATAATGGGTATACATTTTATTCATTAAATATATTTGAAAACCACAGAGGTTTTTTTTTTTTCCTACTAATTAAGAGCTCACAGTTGCACCCTGAGCCAGTTTGTATGGAAATGTCCTCCTCAAGACATACATTAGCACTACAACTCATGAGAATGAACCACCATCAACCTAGTTTCAACTAGTGCTGCAAGCACCGCATTTGCAAAAGGTGACTGAAGTCCCAGGGCCATACCTGCTGCACTCCTGTGACGACATCTGCCCTGCAGGCAGATCCTAAAGAACAGTTCTGAAGAAGTATCTCTGAGGTCTGAGATAAATGTGATCTTTAAAATATATGGCTTAGCAGCCTCCAGAAGGGATTTAAGAACTTCAAACCCCTGGTACTAAATGGGATTTCTTTCCCTGATAAATGTAAATTTGATAGGCTGACTCTAGTTGCGTTTCCGGTTAATGGTTTGATCAGCTAAAATGGGTTGGTTGGGACTGGGAAGTTAATTGTGGAACCCTGGATTTCAGTGGGTACTTAAAGCTAGGAGCTGAAAAATGGAAGGCATAAAACAAAAAAACCAGCATAAAACACTCCTTAGGATTAAATAGTGGAGCAGACCGTGGAACGCCGCTGAACCCTGCCCAGTTTCAGTAAGCCAACTGCATGTTGAATTCCTTCCACAAAGTGGTGCAGGTCCACGTGACGGCAGAAAGCCATGTGCCAGAGAAGTGTGCAGCCCTGGGCTTGGAGCATTTGCAACACAGGGTGAAGTTCTCGTCGGCAAAGAAAAAAAACCAAACTGGAGCAAATGGTCCCTTTACTGAGCTACTGCATAAGAGGAAGGCACTCCTTGTTCCTCTGTAGGTTGTGCAGGGCCAGCAGAAGCACGTCTGCAATGCTGAACCTCACAGGCCAAGATGGGATGCGAACCTCGGAAGGGCTGAGGGATGCATCCATTAGGCACTCGTCAGAACTGAAAGAGCTGCAAGTAGGCAAAGCAGCTGTTTGGGGACATAACGAGGAGAAAGCGAGCAAACAACCTGACGCTAATTCTTAGAGGTAGGCACTTACAGCTTTTTGTGGCACTGGCCTCAGGCACTCGCTTCAGCAGCGAGCGACTTTGTCTTTTCCCCATCCCTCAGAAACCAGGAAGAACAACAGCAATGGCCTTTTTTTCCCCTTCTGCTAGGCATGGAGGCACATGTGGTCTTAATTACTGCTAGGTATTTTAATCATTGTTACTAGTGTGCTCACACTAATTTGCAGTGAGTTGTTAGCGTGCACCACTTATTTTGCATTCAAGTTCTGTGAATTTCCCTTCTCGGAAAAAGCAGCTAGAAAAGCTGAGTTTACGCTTGCTTTATTACAAAACCACCCAATACAGCTTCAGCTCTCTGTGTACTCACAGACGCCTCTGGGAACTTGTTTCCCGTGGCTGCGTGGAAATCACATTTCCGAATGCCACACTGGAGTGAGGGAGATGCAAATGACTGTATCATCTCCTGCTGTTCTTTCGCTCATCTGCCTTTGGCTGATGCATCCAGGGAAGGCTATGATGTCATGGCGCCTGAAGTACGACCAGCAGTCCTGAGGATACATGAGGAGGCACCAAAGTTCATTTGCAGCGAATCAGACAGAACAAAGCACGTGTCTTCTGTAGACACTCGAGCGGTTTTCTCTTGTGGCTATTCCAACAGCTTCTTCTCTAATAATTGCTTCACCAGCACAGGACTGGATCGTCCTTGTGTTTCTCTTTGTACCAGGCCAATTAACTTATTTAGAACTTTGCGATTTCCTGCTTTTATTGCCATAACCTTTAAAGAGAAAAAAAAAAGAAAAAAAATCAAGAGACCAGTGTTAAGTAAACCTGGACATTTTCACTCATTCACAGCCAAGGTATGAATATTTTTGTCCTTTGGACCACTGTGGTAGAATACTATAGTTTGGGCTAAGATGTTAGTTATAAAAACTGCCTTCAGCTTTGCAGTAAGCTCCTGCTCTGCTCTCATGAGACAGCAGCAAGTCCCTACAGCAGCAGGGCCTTACAACTAATAGAAAGATCTCCTCTTATTGAAAAAGCCAGAAAACACTTTTGGATTTTAACAGCGTCTGCAACTTGAACAGCGACTTCCTGGAAAAGAGCCAGCAAAAGGAGACTGACTTCTTTTTGCTAATAGGATCTACCTCTTCACTCAATACAGTTCAGTTATAACAAGTAATTTGCATCAAATCACAATCTATTTGATAATATCTGTGAGGTCCTTCAAGTGCAGATGTAGGTGTTTTTGTAACAGCATGGCATTTCCTTTAAGCACGGAATCCTTTGCAACGTAGCAATTAATTAACTGATCAGAAATACGACCTCCTATCAGACATCCAGCATTTGATGCAGAATCACCTGCAAAATAGCAAGGGCCATATTTAAAAGCTAAGCAAAGACGCTGGAAAAAAGCATTGGCAATTTCACTTTCAGGCATTTCTAAAGGAGATGCTACTGCTGAAAGACAAGCTTCTGGCCTTCATATTGTTTGTGTGGCAGGGAAGACATTCTCTACGTTGTCAGAGTTATTGGGCAAAACACGATAGCTTCAATTAAACAGGATGCCATATTTACAGATATTAAGGGAAGGATTGCGAACATATGAACACCCACTGTGCCAATACCAAGCACAAATGCAAATATTGCCACTCATTATGGTATCCGAATTATTGGCAGTCTAAACTCTTCTCTGGAATGTCACAATATGGAAAGGACTCATTACTCCCGATCTGCTAGAAATTACCTATACGGGGCAGAATACAGTACAATCCGGATAGTGCATTTTCGTAAAGTGTTCCGTGTTGGCTTGAGCAACTGTTTGCAAGTTAGCTCATTTGAAAGAAAGTTACAATCAAGAAGCAAGGCATGTTTTTTTTCCCCCCCCGTCAAGTACTTGGCTAACTCCATTTTGTAAGGTAAGCTCTCGCAGCAATTTAAAGCAATGCATTACAGGCCTTCAGGGCAGCTTTTGCCTTGGCAAAACATCACCTGGAAACTGAGGCCGTTCTACTGCATTTGGCTTGACTAAAACAGTGGAAAACAGAGAGGAATTACTCTCTCGGAGAAAGCATTATTATTGAAATGAGAGTGTAGTTATGGACCTTCGGCTTTTGCGCTTCCCAATCAGCTCTAATGTTTTTTCTATCCACACTTGTGCTTCCGTACCAGTATGAAAATACAGCAGCACTTTCATCAGGCTCTGCAAATGAGTCAGTCTGATGGAGGTCATGCCGACCTACTGCAAGCTCATTTTCTTTATCAAAAGCTCTTGCAGAGCTGTTAGCATCCCCCAATGAGATCCGGGGTGGGTGGTATTGTTCTCAAAAGATGTTAATGTTTTTTTCCAAATGGCAAATGTATCTAGACAATGTTTCTATTACAAGTAAGCTATTCACTTCTGCTTTTACATTTTCGCTCCAGAGAACATGTAAGCACTTGTTTTCATTTTGCTTTTTTATAAAGCAGATTTGAGACTCTGACAAAATCCCTTCCCACTCCTCCCCTTCACGATCAACAAGGGTTTTTTCCCTTCTTCCCGGCTCAGACCTCGTTGGACCGATGAGCCACGCAGGCTGCTGCGTGTCCTTCCAAGGAGATGGGGAAGAGCCAAGTCCCCGTCTTTCCTACTGCAGCACTTGTGCTGCTGCCACAGCCCAGCAGCAGAACAGCAGAAGGACGGCAGCTCCGGAGCCACTGATGCCGCTGCCGCGGGGTGCGGCTCCTCCCCACCCCACAGACGCTGTCAGGCAGGAGAGCCAGCCAGGCTTGTCTCTTGGCAGTGGAGGGAGGCAGGGACATGGCAAGGAGACAGATGCAAGTAACATTTTTGCCTTGCCAGCCTCTGATACAGTCTCTAATTCCATAACTAATATATGCCTTGCTGGAGGTAACTTCGATCTCCAGCTTCAGAACAGTTTAACAGTGTCGCCCTAATATCACAACAGCTGACATAAAAATCAGAGTTATGTGGCTGGGTGGCCAGGCCAGGTTAATGGCAGTATAGCTGAAGAGTGAAAGAGCCCCACAGTTTTGCTTTCCTGCATTAAATTTTTATGGTCTCTCAGAATGACTTAGCCCGTTAGCCAGACTGGTAATTTCTTCTGCTGATCATTTTGTGTATGCTTCAATTTCCCAAAAAACACTTAGTAAAATAAGAAAGGAGAAGAAAAGCCAGATAATATCTGAGCAGCACCTTTAACGCTCCCATACTGGCTCCAGAGCTCAAATGCCAATCAAAAGGAGAAGGAAAAAGGCCATTTTAACCCCCTTTTTAGTGCCACAGACTGCCACAGTGCACAAGCTTCCCAGCACCATCATAATCACCTCATTTTCTTGTCCATCAATCACCGCCTGGCAGATCTGTTCAAGCTCTTTTTGATCCTGCATCAGTTCAAGTTTCTTTTCTTTAACAATTTCAAGAGGAGTCTTCCCTTCTTGCTTCCACAATTCCGCAAGCACCTGAAAATCACAATGAATAGTGGAGGTCAGTGTCTTGACGTATCAATGTTGTTTACGTGCAATATTTCGGTTACTGATCCAAGAAGCCAGATTTTAGTTAGAGCAAGAGCAGATTGACTAAACGTGAACAGACCCAAGATTTAATCCTGTGCCTCGCTCGCTGAAAGAGCTCTTGTACCCTCCCTCCTTTTCTGCATCCTGGAATAAGACAAAGCATTTTCACTCGCTGCATGAGTGCGGCAGGCTAATGGTTCGCAACCGGTGCTCTGCAGCCCACCCCAGTACCGGGAGCTGCCCACTACTACCAGAGATGGTGCCTGCTCGAAGAAGTTTGCCGAGCGCAGCCCCCGTCTGCCTCGCTGCACTTGGCCGCCGCTCCCTCGCTGGGAGAGGGGGGCAGCACGGCAAAGACTGTCACGGACTGCGAGGCTGTTCCTCAGGCAGCACTCGCGCTCGCGTAACTCACAGGAACTGCCTGAGAGCACTAAGAAAATGCATTTCCATGAGCAATGTCTCTGCCCGGGAACTGACGATTAGCTGACTATTGTACCAAGTCCAATCCCAGGTAACTCATCCCATTACCAGTCCTCATCAGCAAGCTGTAATGAGGATACGTATGACAAAGCAGAAGAAAAATAGTGCCGAGCAGAATGAATGCAGTGGCTCCAGCCCACCTATGCATCACCTCCAAATACTGGGTGACCCCGGGCCTCCGGAATAATCACTTGTTAACGCTACTGTGTTTTCCTACGCTGTAGCAGGGCTATAGCCCTGGAATAAACTCAAGAGAAGGGAACATTTGTAAAAAACCAATTTCCTTGGGCAGTCATTTTCTGTATTCCCTTTGCTCTTATTTCAGAGCTGTGGGAGGAGAAAGAAAACCCTTATTAAAACAGCTGCTTGTGCTCCATCCTGAGCTGAAGATATAATTGTATGTTTGGGCCATTGCTGTGTACCAATATGGAAATGGATGTCACGTCAAAATTTCAGCATTAAATACTCACTGTGGGATGAAGAGGAGGCTGGGATGGGGAGATGAGAAGGGCATTCAAACTGCATGTTAAATAATTAGCAGGGCAGCAAGACAACTTAGGAAGAATGAAGCATATGGGACGGTATCTTAACTACCCCAGCAATTTTCTTCAGCATGAAGAATTTTCTGGTACAAAAGACCTTCAGTTAAACAATTTTGTAGCCCCAACAGGTATTTAAGAACCATGCATTGACGCAATTCCTGCAAGAGGAGATCTGTTTGCCAGCAGTACCCCAAAGCTTTTTATGGGATCTTATCACTCTGCTGGAGACCTTGAGAGAGGGTAATGACACGCAGCTGTACTGTGGCAGCTACATCTTGTTTTTTCCCTGTAAGAGGGTTAAAGGCAGATCACAATATTAAAGTTACTGATAAGCAGCCAGAGTTACAACTGCTATAAGTAAAGCTTTCAGCTGTTTATATCTAAATAAATCACTGCAGTATATGATGTCTTCTACAAGATCTTCCTTCTAGTGCAGTAGTTAAAAATCATGCCAGTGCTACCTGGAATACCCCCAGAAAGAAACACATCCAACAGAGATTCAACCCGTCTGCAGCCGCTTGCCTTTTTTTTGTTGCACTCCATTGCTACCCTAGGCAGCCCCCTCCCGTTCCTTCCCTGAGGGACCAGGCAGGAAGCTCTCTGTCCTCGAGGCCTCCTGCGGCACCGGGACGGTGCATCACCCCTCCAAAGGAGCCCTGTCCTCTTCGCACAGCACAGCCCATAGCAAAACACCCCAGAGAGTCTGAAGCACTGCACAAATCAGGGGCTGGACAAGGAATAAGCCATATCGCTCTCCTGGAAAAAGGCAGATGTGACTTTTAGGACCGGTATGTATTCAGGCAGGATGCCATGGGCTGCAGGAGGGGAAAATCTGCAACAAACAAAATCTATGCAGCCGACCATGGCAGAGTTACCCAGGAGCGACTCATACATCAGGCTGACTTAGATCAGGGGCAGGACAGCTTGACAGTCAGAGATCCAGCTCTGATTCTCTGCTATTCCTATGCCAAATGGCTCCTGGCACTGAGAAAAGCTTGCCCATTAGAAACCTTCAAGGCACCAGATTTTCCCTGTGACATCTGCATCATGTGTACTTTTCAATTTGGTAACAAGCATCTCCACTTAGCTGGTAGAGCAACAATGTTATCAAGGCCCTTGCTTGTTTACAGGTATGTAGGAAAGCAGAGAGATGTGGCCAAGCCCTGTCAAAGATGCACTGTTAAAAATGTGTTTCTCCACTTGGCAAGGAGTACGAATCTAAAGAAAGCAGTTTAAAAAATGATTTCAACTCATTTACACAAACTGCCTGCACCGGAACAGGAGGATCAAATTATGAAGTCTCCAGAGCCAAAACGAGAATCTCAGGCCTCATTTCCATTACTGAAATCTCAGTAGTTTCTACTATTGATTCTTGCCTGAGCGTGATTAGATTTTAATGATGTTCTGCGGTCTCTACCTACAAAGGCATAGCAGCAAACCATTGGTCAAGATGAATTAATCAGGACTTGCACGTCTGGCTGCCACAGGCATCGTATCAAACATTTCGCAACCGGTGAACGTGCCAGCTGACTGCTGTGCCTGAGAATGCTCCAACTGGAAACCCTATCTGCAGTGATTTGCTGCCAAGGGTGGGCGGGAAGCAGCAGGCAGTACCACTCGAGTCAGTCCTGTGGGCATCTCTCCTTTCCAGTGATGGAAGCCTCGATGTCTGGCACTTGTCCCTCAGCCTCTGACAAAAGCGAGGGGCAGGCTGGGTCCAGTCCTCCAGATGGTATAGCTGTAATTGTCAAAGCAGATGGTTCTGTTTAGGTTTGTGTACTGTACTCATTTCCCTGCTACCTACTTTAAAGTAGGGGCGCCAAGTGGGTCTGCTGAAGTTATTCCTATGCAGCTGCAGAAGCAAACAAGACCTGGGGTCTGCTCTGCTCCATACCCTGCTACAGATCCCCAACAAACATGCGACAAGGGTGTCCATACGGAGTTGCTCCAGCACGGCTCTTCAGCAGCAGGGGCAAGTTTCTGCTTGCCTGGCCCAGGACCCAGCCTCCTCCCACAATGTCGTAACTCAACAGCAGGCCCCGTATGCCAGAGACGTACTCACTGCCAGCCCTGCGAACGAGGACCAAGGCCCCGTCTCGCACATACTCCCCATCAGACTGGTTTCAGTCCTGGGCGAGCAGCACTGGCACCTCCTGCTGTGGGCTTCAAAACGGTGCCTCCGGGGTGGGCCACAGCACGTGCCTGTGCAGGTGCCCTCAGCCAGGACAATCCAGGACGTGCTCACCCCACAGCCCTGCATGCCGGCAGAGCTGGAAGCTGCTCCCCTTTGCACGGGCACGCCAGTCTGACACTGCTTCGGAGACCTCTGGAGTAGGATGCTGTATTTGATGGCAAGTTGGGCGTGAGCTCTGTAATTACCTAAGTGGTAATTATGTAAGCACACAGTGCCCTTTCCTTGGCATATGCATCCTACCATACAACGTTCTGCGTTTATAATCGGTACTCACAGCTTTTATCTGCCTGTGTTTTAGTGTCGTACACAGCAGAGACCTAACACAAAACCTCTTAAAAAATTTAAACTGTTAACAGCTCCCTGCAGCGAGCGTGTATGTGTATGCCTGTCTGCGCGCTCACCCCATCGAACCCTTCCATCCTTTCTCATTGGATCTGTCTCTACCACTGCAGTTCATTCTCCCCCACCCCAAGTGCTGCAATTCATCTGCCGTTGTGTATATATAGCCCTTTCTGCCCCTGGGCCACCCAGTATCCCTCCCTACTGCTGAGAATTGTTATAAACATTTGTTATTCTTCTGACATCCAGGCAACCGAAATACTTTTCTAAACGTGGCAAGGTTTCTGCAGTTTGATAGCATCACTCAGTGATGGCAAGCAGTACTGTTATTTCTCTGTGTCCAATTTCAGAACACTGAGGACAACATGCGCATTACAAGGAGTTGGTAATTAAACAAGAAAAGCATCTCTGAAATTCTTGACATTTCATAACCTGTCAGAAGTGCTGGCACACAAATATATCACAAGGCAAGAAACTCCCATAGAAGAGCATTAGTTCCCGGTCTCTACCTCCACAAGGAAGCCGAGAGTTAAGACCGGAGTTCTGAAGCCTCCTTTTCAAATGCAGACACTGAACTGATGGGTGTGCCATAACCCGGCAGGCACAGAACTGCTCTGCATGCCAATGCTTTTCCTATTAATACTTTATATCCTTTTTGAGGCTTTTACTTTTCCAATCCAAAATTTCCAAATGCACATGCCTGAAGTCAGGCACTTAAATCCTTATTTATGATGCCTGTCATATGCAACAGGCTATTCACAGAAGCAGACCAACAAGATGACCAACTTAGTTAAGAACCACAAGCATGTCCAAAAAAGAAAACAACAAACCAAGATGTTTACGTGTCTCCAAGTATGGTAAAGAGCCACATCTGCAACAGTCACAGTTGATTTATTATCATGCAAAAAAAAGTGAACTGACTTCGACACGATTCCAAAGTTGTACTTGGATTAATCAATATGTGCTAGAAAGATGGAAACCCGCCCAGTGTATTTCAGAGTGTTAAAAGCTTGAAAGCAGACAAGGCAAGTTAAATATCTTCATTGCAAGTTAAATATCTTCATTAACAGTTTCACTGATGAACACCTGAGAAGAAGCAGTCATCTACTGTACTTGTCTAGAGGATAACTAGTCTGAGAAGACAACGCATTCCACATAAATGAGCTGGCAACAATTTAAGGTGAATGACAGATTATTCCCTATCACAAAAAACCTCCAAATTTTGTCTATAGAGACACCAGTCACCGTAGCCGTCATAAGCAGTTCACAGTTTTAGATACAGAGCTGCTTTTTCGGACTGTCCTAAGCAAGACAATAGTTAAAAAGAGGAGAAAACTAGCTTTACCATCAGTACTTGCTTGAGAGGCCCATGACAACACTTGCTCAAAAAAGCAAGGATAAAAGAAAGGCCAGACCTCTCCACTTTTGACTCAGGGGTACACCAAAGCATAACTCTTTTTGTGACTGCACTCAAGTGGATTATATCCTTTTCCACATGCTAATGCTTGGGAACATAGACCTTACTGTCCTTTAGTACCTAGTAGATACTCTCAGCTTAACTGCAAGTCATGGATTAATTCCTAATGACCTTTAACTCAGGTCTGACTTGAACTGCGAAATTGGGATCTAGTGTCCAGCCTGTTCAGAAGCAGCATTTATTTATTTGACTTCAGTTCACATTGCTTAAATCTACTATTTGACTTGTGCCCCCTTCTAACACTGAATATGCAGATGTATCTGTAAGATTATATACATGTGAGGGATTTTCATGTATTATATGTATAGTAGGTACAAAATTTATCATTTATCAACACTCCAAATAATTTCCTTTTAAAGCAACTGATGTACTGGTACATGCTGATTGTAAAATTGCTACATGAATGGAGTAAGCAGCCACAGGTTCAAAGTACAGTAAAATCAAAAAGGTACTCACCTGCTTTGCTGCTGTAGAAGAAATTGCTTTTTTTTCTAGAAGGTTCAGAAGGTCAGCCAGGAGAAAAGAACTGACTGGGCTAGGGAAAAACAGGGCAGAAGTTACCTCAGAGAATAAGGTGAAGCAATATATCTAGACTACTGTTGCTTGCCTGAAGATCCCACAGTTTAGCATGACAAGCTAGAGTTTTTCCTCATGATACACTGTATTCAACTTTGGTATTGACTGCTTGATTACGCCTTACCATTGTCATATTCCAAAGAAGGAAGACTCTGATTACTACTCCTAACTACACGGTCCTCTTCTCTGCAAGATATTTAGTTAACTGCATTCAGTACGACTGCGTCAAGGCCTACATAGCACTGCCTAGCGTAAAACACTTCACAGATAATAACTAAAGCAGAAGCGAGCAAGAGAGTGACACGATACCATTCAGGGTACATGAGAAAAGGATCACTTTTGTTTCACCACTGTAGTAATCAAGAATCCTGACCTTTCCTTTACCGTAAGGGAATGTTGTTTCAGATAACTGAGCAGGTCATTTAGAATCCAGCCGATCACTTTCTTTGGCTTCATCTGGGTCCCTTTTACCACATTTTCAAAGAATTCTGCTAATCCATCTTCATTCTGTTTAAGAAAAGTTAAATGCATCAAAAAGTTACCAGAGTGCAAACACGTTGAATTATACAATTACATTCAGAATATAAACACTCAATCCTAAAGTAAACTTGGTTTTGTGAATTCACTGTCAAGTCACAAGATTTTGGAGTAATTTTGTTAACGTAACAGCAAACAAACTATGTTCCATCTAGAATAGGTACATGCAGCTTATCTGCCAGCCTGTTTCAATGGAACTTCCAATAAAAGAGTGATCTTTTTTTCTTAACTCCTCCCTAGAATTAGCCTTTGGGGAGAAGCTTTCTCATGTTCTTATGTGTTTTAAATATGTGTAATGCTAGAAAACATAATGCTGCCATCTAACAGGCTGTCATGCTACCTTTTACCAAGAAGAGGTTTTTCTTGAAACTGTCTACAGGTATTTCACTCTTGATCTTGCAATCGCTTCTATTTATTTTGGATTGAAGGAGTAAGTTTAGCTTGCATTCACCCTTCAATAATATGGAAAGGTCACACCGTAAGAAGCAAGGTTTTATTTTTCTAGTTTTTTCAGAGAAGCTACGTAAGCTTTTCCACAGCACCCTAAATGCTCAAAAGGTGTAACAGTAGGGGATTCAATTTATAGCCTAAGTGAAATCTGAGATTGTTTTTAGAAGAACAGATACTGCACAGTCTGTTGAATGCTGTGCTGTTTGTCATCAAGGCATTGATGGATCTTTAACTGTAGTACAGAACTCATTAGGTCTCCTGAAGGCTGAAGAGATATTAAGTGGCAACTCCTGCCTTTCCAAGGAGGAATCCAAATCCAGCGTACCACTGGACTTCTGCAGTGTGTGGCATAAATGCACAAGAGAACAAGCCAGCTCTCAGAAGTTGTGAGAGGTAACAGTTTAGAGACAGCCAAGGAGCTATTCTAAGTATACTATCATCACAGCAAAAACATTTTCCAAGCACATACTGACTGCAGCCAGATCTCTCTGAACAGTTGTGAGCAAAGAGTGCAGGTACACACTAAACCAAAGCCTGACTTTTCCACTCAAACACATCCCATCAAAACAGTCTCACTTGCCCTTGTTTTTAAAGGCAATTTATCACCATAGCAATACAGAATTTTAGACTTTCCTCCTCCAAACTTTCACAACACAGACTTCCAACAGCTCTAGATACCACATTTTTCATTAGTAATGATGTATGGCTTTTGAGAAGACTGCAGATTACTGCTCTCTGTTCTGTGAAACAGAACCAAATGTACTTAGATTAATGGCTGGTGTGCTGTAAAACTGGTGTGACAAAAGTCAGACCCATCCCCTTTACCTTGAGACCATGAGCAAAGAAACCAAGTTCTCAGCCTAGGAAAGCCACTGAGGTCTTTTATGAACCAAGGTAAATCCTGTAACTCCCCCTATTTATCTACCTAATACACACAGACATAACCCTTCTTTTCCAGTGTTCTTACAAATTTAACTAGCGGTTACTTTGTAATCAAATGATGTAAAATCTAAGGCTAAATACACTAGAGGGACAAATTTGGCTTAAAAACCCCCACCAGTAAAGGAACGATGTGATTACCAAAGCACAGGAAACTTGATTAAAAACTGTGTGTGTGTTAAGTGGAATTACTAAAATGATGCATTACTAAATACTGTACTCTTTCTAATTCACCTCAGGATTCATTAGCACAAACAAACACTGATTATTTAAACAGCAGGTTCCCTTCCACAAAAACACCTGTCCAATTTAGGCAGGAAAAAGTGAGCACGTATAAATGCTGGTTTCTTTACTCATGCTGCAGAAGGTTTTACAAACACTCCAGGCAGAGTAGGTCTAGCTACAACATTATGCACATGAAAACAATGTCTGCAGGTGCCACATGTCTGAATGCAGACTACGCAACTCAGACGCAGCACGTCCATCACGTATAGGCTGGAAAGCGTATCTCTACCAGTGGGTACATTCAGATTTCTGGATACCAACAACCTGGCTGGAGCTACAGCTCTGACCCTGCTGCCACACCTTTGAAAATCAAGGACAAACATACTCAGCCTTCACATTTTAATCAGATGATTTCCAGGCAGCAAGAGGAGAAAAGGCCAGGAATACTCAGAATTATCCATGCTAACAGGTACCAAACCCCATACTCACTACTTGTTCACATGAAACCAGACATATTCCCGAAAATTCCTTTGCCTTTCGTTTTAGTTTTTTTTAAAGTAAGTGTCAGTTTCTGTAGCCGAAGAGTAGGAAAACCCAGCAATGCTAGACTGAAATGAGTAAGGCAGAATGTCAAAACATCAAAATGACTGACAGAAATGAAACATTTTCCTTATTTTCTTGCCATATTAGAAAAATGCAGGCATAACTTGATTAGCTTCAATTTCTAGATACTGTACTACTTGAACTTGACTTTAATTTGTTCTGCATTTTGGTCAACCTTCTTCATGCCAAATTCACTCCAACTACCAACACACACACACCTGTCCCTTGCCATAGATCTGAGCTGAAAACCACTGCACACACTAACATGCTGGTTTACAGGAATGCTAACTGACTCTTCTCACTTAATTCTGAATAACATATTTTAATCTTCATAGAAGGAAAACCAGAAATCTGGAACCGCAGGACCGTGTTTGTGATCCAGGCCCACTCGGTGCTCCCATTACACACTAAATATGCTGTAACTTATTCATCAGAGTCTCACTGGCATGAAATCTGACATACCAATATTTCAACCAGATGCAAATTTCTTTCTTAAACATGGTTTAAACCATCATTTACTAGTACTGAGATGTCAAAAAAAATAGTCGTGGAGTGATTCCAGATGCTTTTTAAACAATACATTATTTTACAAAATACCATGGGTACAGTCTTTAGGGACATTGGGTCTGTAATGCAAACTTATGCTTTTAAAGACCAATAATGTTTCCCAAAGAACTGAAGAAGCAAACTACATCAATGTTAACAAATAAAATGTAATTTTCTGCTTTCTTATTGCCATTTTCACCATCACAGTTCCCACAATAACCAACTGTGAGGTAACAACTGCTGGAAAAACGTGCAAGATTGTCAGGGAAAAAAACAGAAAATCTAGCCCATTAAAGGAGACAAGCACAGCAGTCAAAGAAAGTTCAAACTTTTTCCTACAGCTTCTTATAAAATTATTTAAGTTCTAAAAACAAGCATAAAGTCATCCACACACCAACATGTATGAGGACGGCGTGTCATAAACAAAATGGTCAAAACCAACTTCTACAGCATTCCACTTTTGACTGTTCCAAGGATTCACCAATGTAATTGTTCCACCAAAGCAATAAGCCAAAGCCCAAGTGGAACTGCCACTTTTATCCGAGTAAGCAGGAGAACAGCAAACGTACAGGAAGACTTGGAATTCGGATGAGAAAGGAAGTGATCAGACTGGTTTTTTCTAATGCTGTACTGTGACAACTGATCTATTTTTTGGTTGGACCTCCCCAGACTTCAGCACGCTTTTTGAAAACAAAACGTCACATTAATGTCTATGCCAATACATCTTATTTTTTTGACTCAATAGGAAGCAAGACAAGAATACTACAATACCATAACTAGCAAAGTTGTCAGAGATCCTTCTTGACTGAAGTATTTGTCAGCCTACCAGTTTACGCAGCAAAGTAGAAACTGCACGCAGAAATTGAGTGCCCAAATACCACAGAGTCTAAGTGGCTCAAAGAATTGTATCTTTATGAATAAGAAGGGTTCTGCATGAAGAAAATCAGAAACTTGATTTATTTTTGCAGTTTATACAAAACTGCCAGAAATGTAGCAGTTTACACTTAAGAAATTTCAGATATAAAGATACTAATAGGTAATGCTCTCCTTCCATTTCAGTACATCTTGTAATCAGGCAAACCAGGAATCTCAGATTCTCAGTACTGCAATACATACAGGTAGCTATTGTATATGAGAATAAAGCTCATGAAGTACGCTCAGAAACTAACTTGCATGCTGAAGTATGGTACTGTTTTATTATAACTTTGGCGCATAATGTTTTCTCTAACAAGTTGGCGCAGAACAGAGATTTTGCATTTTAGAGTCATCCCTCTACCACTGCCATTTATTTAATGAGCACTCCTGGGCGCTCTAACCTGAAAGAATGCTCATTAGATTTGTGCATCTGGCCCTATCAGCAATCTTCTGCAACTTCTGATGTAAGCTTAACGCAGCAATGGACGCACCATTTTCAGATGAATTAAGGTTAACTAGTCTCCCAGTGAACAGGCAAGCAACTTTTATGGAGAGTATACATGCTGACATTCTAATACACAATAAAAGAAGACCCGCAATGAAGAACACGTTCGCTTCATGCATTCAAATGGATGCATTATCTTATTACAAGCTGAATCCCAAATTTCAGCTTGGAGCTCATTAATTGTCTCATACGTTGCAAAAAAGAAAAAAAGTTAAAAGGGAAAAAGCAAAGGCAATAGTGGATTTCAGAGAACAGGTGGAAAGAAAGGGCAGTTGATGAGGCAAATATATAGGGCTAGTTGACAGAGTGACAGAAACCACACAGCAGAAGCCATCAATACTAGCAAAATTGAAACACACAAGAAGTGGGTTGATGCCAAGTGAAAGGAGTGGGTGTGCTGGGTCTGGCTGGGATGGAGTTTATTTTCTTAAGAGCAGCCCGTAGAGTGCTGTGTTTTGGTTTTGTCAATAAAGCAGTGCTGACAACATGTTGATGTTTTGGCTACCGCTGAGCAGTATTTGCACAGCATCAAGTCTCTTTTTCCCACCCTGCCCCCCACAGCGAGTAGGCTGAGGGTGGGCACAAGGTTGGGCAGGGATACACCCTGGACAGCTAACCCAAACTGACCAAGGGGATATGCCATGCCACATAACACCATGCTCAACAAGAAAAACTGAGGGAAGGGGATTTCTGGGGAGGTAGTCATTGGTCGGAGACTAGCTATGCATCAGTCTACTTGTGGAAGGTGGTGAGTGATTGCATTTGCATCACTTTTGGGTTTTTCTCTTCCTCAAAAAAAAAAAACCATGAGTTTTCTTGCTTTTGTTCTTCCTATGCTCTCCCCTGTCTCCCCCCTGGGGGGGGGGAATGAGCGAGCAGCTGTGGTGCTTAGCAGCTGGCAGGGGTCAACCCACCACAGAGGGGGAGAAGAATAAAAGAGTCAGAAAAAAGAGTTCAGGACCTATCTGCCTTTCTGAGCTCTGTTTATTTCAATATGTGAGAAATATGTTGATGTGAGAAAATGCATGCATGGACAGGAATACTGGCTGCGAAATAACATTTTCCAGCTTATACAATGAAATAGAAAGGTAAGATACTACCCAACACTTCTTGCTGCTATCAGTGCAGCCTCATGACTTTGATGAGACTTACGACTCACCTGCCCACCAAACAGCAAAATATCTGCAACTCACTAAAATGGCACACCACCACAGGGGCAGTTTTCCTAACAGCTTTCTTCAGAAGACAGAACCAATTTTTTTCTGTAGAACCAGCTTCTGTACAAGTGTATTAAATTACAAACACACAAAGGAAGAATATTAGGTAGTTAAGTTAGGTGCACTGCTCTCCCTCCATTCATAGTCAAAAGGAAAGGAACTCCTCCAGAGGACAATTTAAAGTACTTACGGTTCCGCTCTGAATCTTACTCTACAGTCCTTTTCCATCTGTCTCCACTAATCACAGAGGTAACCAAAGCAGGACACTGTCCTAGCTTAACTGGCTATGTGAAATGTCTAATCTTGGGTGGGTATACTAATGCCCACACAGTTACCATTGGCAAACGGAGATGATGCAGCTTGCATTTAAAAAGCTCGAAGTCCTTCAGAAGAATTTTGGAAGTTATGAGATTTTGCTGTCATGTCCTTACTCATATCCATATTTGCCACATCCTTTTCTTTCTCATCCCCTCTTCTGAACCCACCCCTGGTAAATTGCATTGTGAGGTCAAAGTTGACATTGTACAGCTGGTTTGTGTATTTACCTAAGAATAAGTCTGTTTTTTTCAAAATAATGTGGAAGCCAGATCAACTGGGACATGTGAAGCTGAAAGATTTAAACTTTGGGTTTTGCTTCTGCAGTCAGGAAAAGATGTCTATGAATTTGTTAAATACTGACAATGTGCCCAGCCTTGTACCAGACCCAAAGACAGGAAGAGCAGGCACTTGCAGACAAGGATTTGTCAGCAGTAAGTTGTACATTTGTTGCAGTCAGTCACGGGTGCATCCATGTGTAGACAGACAAGATCAATATTAAATAATAGTTATTTGACCGCACCTTGCATGAGAAATGCTTCTTCTAGGCACACTGTGTATGGTTTCTTTTTCCCACCCTTCTGTGTATATGGTTCCAAGGTACAAAGTATGCATTGGACATATTTCCAACTAAAAAACATCCATGAGAACTGACAGCTGGTTAATACGACATTTGTAAATCTTTTCAAAAACCGTGCAACTTCGACGTTTCTAGGCTTATTTTAGCACTTGATCAATAGACCTACCAATAAGGTGAAGCTGTGTTCAGGAAGAATCCCATACTGTTCAACAAGCTTTGCTCTCTTCACACTGGGGAGGTCAGGAAGTCTCTCATGAATCCAATCAATATTTACCACTTGCTGATGGTTCAGATTAGCTGGCAAAGATTTAGCATCGTACAGAATCAATGGAGGAAGGTTTGGCTCTGGCATGAACCTAGTGAAAATGATTATTTTCAGTCAGAAGCTAAACAACAAGAAATAAAATTTATATCACAATTTATGCTTACCTGGAAGTTGTATTGCTATTTCAACCAAACAAAATATTAAAAATTCATGACTCGGTATATCACTGTTAAGTAATAAGAGATCAGCCCCTGAAGTGCTGGAAAGCCCCCGTTTTCTTTCTTTGAGTATTTGCCACTGATTGTCCAAGAGTCAATGATAGAAAAGGGGTAATTAAAATATTTCTGCACCCAAAATAATAATAAAAAATAACAACAATAATAATAGATATGGAAACAACCCATTCCTTTTGGCATCAAGCATGAATTGTGGATCTGGACAAAACAGGAGTGGACTGACAGGGAAAAACACAGATTGACAGCCAACTGCCAGGAGTGATCTGGGCAGGTTGCAACCTTTTCCAGACTAACTTCAAAAGTCTTGATGAAATCTCATGCTGTGCTAAAAGCAAAGTTACTGTGCTCAGCGGGGTGCCATCACAGAACAAAAGGCTCCCTTAAAAAGAGAAGGCCAATTCAAACCACTAGAATAACTGTGATTGAAGCAGAAACCTCACTCTTACATGATCAAATGAGGGGTTCAAAAATATCAGAATAAAGGACCCTCTACATTTACTATAATAATTTCTGTTTCAAATCTGCCTAAACATGGATTTTAAGTTTAATGTACAATGTGTAGCAGTAAGTTACAAAAAAATTGAAAAACACTGTTTAATACTGATCATAAGCTTAGTACTAGTAATAATCTTTCTGGTCTTTATTTGAAATATCTTAGAGTCACCAGTTTTGTCTAGGTTTTCATGAATTTTCTTTTGCATTTTGTTCAAATTAGTCTTGCTAAATAAGCCTCATGCCAGCCCCTACCATAATAAGGACTTTATTAAATGATCACTGCCTTTTCTGATGCATTTCTAAAGCAGATTTAAATTTAAAGTTTGTGGGATGTTTTCAAAATCGTTGCTCTGCTCTGGTAAGATCAGTGGTAGAATATATGTAGATTTAAGCATGGAGAGGCGGGGCCTGCTATCTGAAAATCATTTCCCTCAGTATTTACTTAAAGCGGGAGCAATGCTTAACTCGGAACATTCTTACATTTTATGTCAGGTATTCTTAAGAATGCACTCGTACTGGCCACAAAGTCAACCTTTAACTTACCCACTCTGAGCTAAGGTACTCCAGCTTAGTTTTTAGGAAAGGTCTACAGGTTTTAGCAGAGATGAGACACAGTTCCAGATCTGAACTCCTCAGACTAGCACCAATTTTGATAGATCTCTTCCCCTTGCAGTGGAAGGCAAACTTCCAATACATACTCACTATACTAACTTTACATGCTCATTACACTGACTACATTTAAGAAAAGAAAGAAATTCTCAGTTCTTGAAATGTTAACTTTATAAAAAAAAATACCGATAATCCTGTTTTCCTTCTTTGTCTCTCATCGGTACAGTGCACCTAAAATAAAAACAAAACAAGTAAGATGTGGTAAGAGGCACACCACAGAATTAGTATTACGGCAAAAACACAAACCAAAAACTTCACCTCATGAAGATTAGGAGAGCTTCTTAAAGCCACTTCAAAGAATGTGTACATGTAACAGGGCATTCATTTTCACACAGACACTGCCTAATGTAGCACACAATCTGTTGTGAAAAAGCCTCAACTTTAAGGATAAATTACTACCTATGAGGAGTCTATGCTTGTGAACATAGCTTTAGAAGACAGAAGTTGAGCAATACTATGTTACCTCTCCTGATTATGTCACTTGTGGTACCCATGGCACTCTAAAGCTGCTATTCCTGATGTTCCTCCAAAACAAAAACTCACCCAAGCTTGGAATCGAAGGCTCTTGTTTCATTCAGAATTGTTCCTCCTTTTTCAAGTTCTTCAATTTGCCTCTGTATTTCATAGTCTGACAGAAACAAAAGAAAAAAGAGTAAGCTTGTTATACTGCACTATTAGCTTTTGTACACTCCACTATTTCATTTTTCACTGCTATGTAATAATGGAATAGTTTGTTGTTTTAACCTTAATGAAATCAACAGCAGTAGTTACAGGCAGAATTATCAGTCACTGTCACTCTCTCCAGCACTGTTTCTTTCTTTGTGTGTTTTCCTCATCTTCTTTCATTCCCTTTAAACAGAAAACATTTTCTCCCAGGCACTGCAGCCAAGCCATACATTCCTAGTGACCTTCCAATCACTCAGTTGAGTTTTCTTTTGGAGATGTAATAATCATCCTTTCTTGCTCATATCCAAGCTGCATCTGAACTTCACACACACCACCTACCGTACTCAGTGGAAAGCAATCATCTACATTGGAGGACACAGAGCTACTGCTAACATATTTCAGCGCTAAACATGCTAGGCATTGAATCATCTGCTTTATTTTTGCAGACAGAGGGTTACCTCTGCAAGAAAACTGCAGACTAACATGGCTGCTATCCCCACAGTACCCCATACTAAGATTTATTCTGTCAGGGAGCAGGAAGAGCAAGGCTGCTCCACAAGGAAGGGTAAGCCAGGAGCCGAGGGTGACCACAGCACAGGCAGTGCCCTCACTGTCTGGTGCAGTCCCACTGGTCTGAACAGCATGGGCAGAGGCATGTGCTACTAACAGGGTCCACTGCCAGTCTCAGTCAAGGTGAGGGGATGAGTTGGGTCCAAGGTCCATCCAGGGAGTCCAGTCAGCAGCAGCAGGAGGTAAGTCCAGAGACAAGACTGGGAACAAGACTACAGAACACGTCCAAGCTCCATCAGGAGACAGGACTGAAAACTGATACACCTGTGATGTAGCTCAGGCAAAGTCTGAAGGGCCCAGCCTGAGCTTAAATGGGACTTCTAGACCCATAGGTAAAATGCATGGATGGAACACCCAGATGAAGCTAGTCAGGGCATTTAAGGCCAATTACTGCACTCAGGAGCCTGACATTTCATGTCAGACCACATAAAATATTTACAATCCTTCTGTAATGAAGCAACCATTGTTTACCTACTGCTTTTGCCAGGAATCGTAGGCTATTGATATTCTTCACTTCAGTTCTCACTCCGTAAGGCTCTCCAGGGTGATGCACAGAAACATTGGCATCCACTCTCAGCTGACCCTCTGTAAAAGGAAATTTCATCAACAGAATAGTCTGCCCTGTAAACTAGAGTAAAAACCTTGGGATGCATTAATAAACTGCATGTTATGTGCAGAGCATCAATAGCAGACTTCCTTATGTTCAGAAAGGAGTAATAACCACCTCATCATAGCGTTCTGTTTGTGATTCAATCTCAAGACTCTGCCTCCAATCATTCAAAATTTTCTGAGAATACTTTTTTAAACAAATTATTGCTCATCATTCTTCTCAGAGAAAACTGTATGGTGCAGTGCAGCACAGATCCTCTAAGCCATATAGTGAAAAAAGCTTCTGATTCACAGCTCTTAAATAAAGGGCAGAATTAGACAAGCAATTTAAAATGGTGGATTGTGAGCTTCCATTCCTCTAAAAACAGCATAAAAATACCTTTTGGAATTAGAATTTGACGGATATATACTACCCCCAGCATGGAACACAAGAACTTACAGTTATGTTGAACAGATTTACTAAGGTATTCTTGGAAATTTACAGCTCAAGGCCAAAATGTGGGAAGTAGTGGATTTTTTTGTAATTTTCTTCCTCTCCTTCACGAAACTGCAATCTTACCCCTGCCCCAAATTTCCCTGGCTGCCAAAAACTGAAACTGAATACAAAGTTTTACATAAAAGCATCCTGCACTTTTAGTCCGAAATGGAATAATGTCCTTAGAGATCTTTAATGACTCAACCACAAGTAAAGCGTAATTGTATCTTTCTAAGTTTTGTCCCCCTAAAGACATCCCTTCTGAGAAGAAAAGGCTTGACACAGTTATTCAACTAGAGGGAATAAAAAACCAGGAGAGGTTGTACTAAAAAGAAACATCATTTTTCGCATATTGCACAGTGAATGTCTGGAGCCTTCCTCTTTTTTTTTTTTTTAAATTTCAAATACCAATAAAAAGAAACAAACACTTAGCATTTAGATACAGTAGCATTATTAAAGAGAGTGCAAAATGGCTCAGAGTTAAACCTGTGAAGACATCTACAGCTTCAGAATCCATTCTGGTCAACAGATGTAAATTGTACCAAGGCCTCTCTAGTTTGTAAAAGCAGGCTAGATGATAGCACACTAATTTCCTCTGTCTTCATAGAGTCTTGCCAGACATGCAAATCAAGGACAAAGGTGCCAGAATGACCCAACATCTCTTTCAAGAGAAGTGTTTTGCATGTGCTCCCTCTTTGGGGTGAAATGAGCACTTGTTCCAGAAGAGGAATAGTCTTGTACTGCCCTTGCTTCATTTTGAGACATGACCTGCTTCTACTTGGATGTAGGTGTCAATGTGACCAGACAATGAAGTTAATCAGGCATAAGTGAAAGGAGAGCCAGGCCCCAAATGTTCTTAAAAAAGCTTTTTTCCTGCAAGCCTGCTTTAAGCCCAGCTTCTTTTCCTTTCACTTTGCAATGAAATCATCTTTTCATCTGTTTGTTGTTAATGAAATAACACCTGATAAAGCTGGGCACTTGTCTTCACTGAATACACAAGTAGAACGCAGGTAGAACATGAGAACATAAAGCCTGATTTGAAAGCAAGTAATTACGATGAGGGAAAACCACAGTTGAAAGCCCTTAAAAACACCACCTTGAAAAAAAAAAATCCAAATACTTTTAAAGCCAGCTATCCTGGAGGAAAAACATTCCCAACATTGGAATTCTCTGCTAAAGTCTGAAATCTCACTGCAATAAAAGATATCATAGTGCAATTCCAATGGCAATCTTAGGGCCAAATTCAGTAGTGATAAATGATGTATGTCCATGAAGGCCTTTAAAGAAGCATGCAAACTGGCTGCTTAATATTAACAATGGTTCCCCGTTTGACGTGTAACACTAGTGTGAGAAAAGATTCAGAGGCATATATAATGTCTAGCAATTATTATTTCCCCCTACATTAAACCAGATTTGCATCACTAGCCAATTTATTGGATCCCATTCACTGGGTGATACATGCATCCACTTGTACTATGGCCTGAATTTGTTGCCAGAGCAGTGAGGCCAACTGCCACAGGCAAAAATATAGCTTACATTGTGAACACTAATAGGCAGCTGATAATTGGGTGTATGTGTAGAGGGGATGAATGCCCAAAACTGTACTTTTAAAGTCTCAAGCAGAAGCCTGCTATTTGCTAGCTGTAACCATGGGCTGCTTGTAAATTTTAATAACATCAGGACTGAGCAAAAATGGCATGACCTGAATCCTCCAATTAACAGAGACATGAGACAGAATCACGTGTTAGGAGGCTGATCACAGCTGTGCTTCTGCACATGACCTATTGCGAAAATTAGGGCTTTAGGGTTCCAGAAAGAAGAGCTGGTGCCAAAAGCAGGGGTTCCCAAAAGAGGAAGCGGTCTCAGAAAGATATTAGTAATCTTGGCTAGAGAGATCCTGGAGCTGAGGGAGGATCCCAAAGATCAGAGAGATGCATGGAGACAAATGTCAGGGGATGGCTACGGACCTTGGCCTCTTAACACCTGAGACTGGCATCTGCAAGCCTGCTGCACAGCACGAACCAACACAATTTTCCGGCCCACCTCCCCAGACCAGCAGTGGTCTCCCTAGTGGGAATTTGAGACCTAGTGAACATCATGCTGGAGGAGAGGGAAGGACAGAATGAGTATGTGAAATGATCAAGTAGGTTAAAAGCTGCAATCCCATTGGTTCTTAAATTAACCCTGGCACCAGTATCTGGTATGCGCTGTTGTTTACTCCATCTCACCTATAACACCAGCGTAAGTTTACTGCCCTACACCCCTCTTATTAGCTGAGACCTGACACACACAAGATGATCCATTATGTGTGATGGAGGAGCCCTGCTTTCCTGGACAGAACTGAACACCTGCCCACCAATGGGAAGTAGTGAATGAATTCCTTATTTTGCTTTGCTTGTGTGCACAGTTTTTGCTTTACTTATTAAACTGTCTTTATCTCAACCCTTGAGTTTTCCCACTTCCACCTTTCCAATTCTCTCCCCCATCCCACCAGGGCAGGAGTGAGTTAGCGGCTGTGTAGGGCTTGGTTGCTGGCTGGGGTTAAACCCCAACAGTCCTTTCTGGCACCCAACATGGGGCTGGAAGGGTTTGAGACAACAACAGGTTTGAATGGAATGTGCTAGATTGAATTTATAGCTGTTACTGCTGTTTAGCTATTAATCGGCAGGCTCCTGTGCTTGCCATGGGGCTTGCTTGCCTTACCATGTATTAGACTCCAGTGCTTGTTAGTGGCTGTTTTTTGCTTTTTCTACTTGCTGTACTGCTTATCATCTTACTCTGCTGTGCCTGGGAACATTTTGATAACATCAGTGGCGATGTGCCTGGGCTGGCAGATGGCCAGGGCATTGCTGCTGAGTACTTCCGTGCTGGACATGCTAGAACTTTAATACAAAATGGAGTCAAAAGGCAGCCAAGTGGTATGCCACAACTGGTATCACTAATGAGTTTTTCTCAATCCTTTTGGCAGCAGAGTGCAGGCCACAGTTTGCTTTCACCTGGAGGGGGGATCCAGTACACCTGGAATCGACTGCCCCAGGGATGGAAACACAGCCCTACCATTTGCCATGGACTGATCAACACTGCACCGGAACACGGTGAAGATCTGGAACACCTGCAGTACATTGATGACACCATCATATGGGGCAACACAGCAGAAGAGGTTTTTCAGAAGGGGAAGAAAATAGTCCAAATCCTTCTGAAGGCTGGTTTTGCCATGACACAAAGTAAGGTCAAGGAACCTGCACAGGAGATCCAGTTTTTAGGAATAAAATGTCAAGATGGACATTGTCAGATTCTAACAGATGTGATCAACAAGACAGCAGCTATGTCTCCACCAACAGGCAAAAAGGATCCACAAGCCTTCTTGGGCGTTGTGGGTTTTTGGAGAATGCATGTTCCAAATTACAGTCTGACTGTAAGCCCTCTCTATCAAATGATGCAGAAGAAGAACAATTTCAAATGGGGCCCTGAGTAATGACAAGCCTTTGAACAAATTAAACAGGAGATAGCTCATGCTGCAGCCCTTGGGCCAGTCCGGTGTCCTGGTTTCGGCTGGGATAGAGTTAATCATGTTCCTA